ATCTTTAATAAAGCATATTGGTGTCAGCTATCTGTTAATGCACTACGATAGAGTGTGCGAGTCACAAGACTGACTGAAGAAAGTTACCAATAAATAAATTAAAAAAAAAAAAAATAATAAAATACACAAATGTGTACTTCACCTGTGCAAATTCAGCTGTAAAAGGTATTTAATCACAGATTTATTAACCAATAATGCAAACATTTCATGGATGTGAAGTTATTTCATAGAAAAAGAATCTATTGTTTTACCAATTAAAAAAATATACAAGGCATAATAACAAGATGAAAATGTTACTTGTAACTGCAATTTTGCCACCTGAATGCAAAAACCTCCTAACTGAAGGCAGAGCGGTTTGTGATGCAGCCGTGTAATTGTCTATGTGACGGCTTATCTCTATCTGTGTGAAGTGTTCCACCACAGGGGTGCGTACCGCACAACAGGAGACAGGTACTTTGCACAAAAATAGAAACAATAAAAGATGGCTGTCACCTTAAAGGATCCAGATCAAATGACAAATTGCTGTCATCTTATAGGACATATTGAATAATTGCACGCTTCAAATACGCCACTTTATCAGAAGGGGTATACATTATTTGTGTCTGCATTTACTGAGAGTGCGTAATATGGAGCTTGTTGTGCAGTAAAGCAAACTCGCTGCACTTATCACAGGGATTACTGACATATCCGAGCAGGATCCGGTAATAATATTACAGTTTTTAAAAGTTAAGTTTGCACATTTTTCCTATGTAATAACTTACTTAGAACAAATATCAAAGAAGATGTATGCTTCTCAAATATTTCCGCAAGAAAAAACAAATACACTCCCCCCCCCCCCAGTTATTAAGGTTTCACCTGTGATGTTAGCCAGCCCTGTCATGAAATTTAAAGAAATAGAGCCATATCTGCAAAACAAAAATAAAGAGATTTTATACTAACCCATTCTGCTGCACTCACTGTTGAACACTGCTGTACTGCTGTGGAATAAACCATGGAGAATGTTTGCTGGGAAGCCTGCATGCCTGGGAGTCCCTATCTGTGTCCCCTGCAGCATTTACTGTTTCTTCCCTCCAACCTCCCGGTTACTACTTTGTCTTCTAATGACATAGAGCAGGGTCTGCAACTTTTAAGACATAAAGAGCCACTTGGACCCGTTTCCGAAGGGAAAAAAAAGACTGGGAGCCGCAAAACCATTGCAACATTTAAAACAAATCCGACACTGCATATATTGTTTCTTACCTTAATGCTATATACAGGATCATGCAGTTAGCTTCATCCCCCATATAGTAATTCATCCCCCATATAGTAATTCATCCCCCATAGTAATTCATCCCCCCTATAGTAATTCATCCCCCCTATAGTAATTCATCCCCCATAGTAATTCATCCCCCATATAGTAATTCATCCCCCATAGTAATTCATCCCCCATATAGTAATTCATCCCCCATAGTAATTCATCCCCCATATAGTAATTCATCCCCCTATAGTAATTCATCCCCCATATAGTAATTCATCCCCCATATAGTAATACATCCCCCATAGTAAATTCATCCCCCCATATAGTAATTCATCCCCCATAGTAATTCATCCCCCCTATAGTAATTCATCCTCCATAGTAATTCATCCCCCATAGTAATTCATCCCCCATATAGTAATTCATCCCCCATATAGTAATTCATCCTCCATAGTAATTCATCCCCCATATAGTAATTCATCCCCCATAGTAATTCATCCCCCATATAGTAATACATCCCCCATATAGTAATTCATCCCCCATATAGTAATTCATCCTCCATATAGTAATTCATCCCCCATATATAGTAATTCATCCCCCATATAGTAATTCATCCCCCCATATAGTAATTCATCCTCCATATAGTAATTCATCCTCCATAGTAATTCATCCCCCATATAGTAATTCATCCTCCATAGTAATTCATCCCCCCATATAGTAATTCATCCCCCCTATAGTAATTCATCCTCCATAGTAATTCATCCCCCCATAGTAATTCATCCCCCATATAGTAATTCATCCTCCATAGTAATTCATCCCCCATAGTAATTAATCCTCCATATAATAATTCATCCCCCATAGTAATTCATCCCTATAGTAATTAATTCCCCATATTGTCTCAATTCACTTACCTTTGCTCCGCGGTTTCCTCTCGCTGTGTTCCCGCGCTGTGTTCCGGTCTTCAGGGCGGACTGTGAGAGGAGTTCGTCACGCTGCCCCGCCTACATCCTGGCTGCCCCGCCTACATCCTGACAGCTAATGTTCCACGCTCAGCGGGCCGGATTAAAAGAGTCCTGACTTTTGAGGCGGCCGCCCGAGAGGAGGGAGGGGAGCGGGCGCCCGGCACACAGAAGAGCCGCATGTGGCTTGCGATCCGCGGCTTGCCGACCACTGAAACCCTATTGCCTGTCACCTGGTGGGCAGTGTGCTCCGGAGCCGCAGCAAAGATGAAAAAGAGCCGCATGCGGCTCTGGAGCCGCGGGTTGCCGACACCCGACATAGAGGTAGGCAAGAAGAACCAATAAGCAGAACCAATAAGTTATTTTCAAAATTACGAGGCAAAAGTTTATATGGTAATTTTACTTGGAAACAGTAAGTTACTGGCGTTCTTTAAAGCTTTTTGCTCAGCAAGGGAGCCACAAGAATGTCTTGCATTTTGCTCAATTAATGCAAAGAGTTCTCTGACTGGACGAGGTGGAGAAGCGAGGGAGATGATGCCACCTTGTCTAATCAGGAGAAGCATGAATTTGCAAGGCTTCCCTGGATGAGTGAGCAATCATTGTAGTAGCAGCTCCTACTACAGTGATTGGTATATGCAAAAAATATATATACATAGAACTCAGCTTATAAGCCTATCTTTGTTACAATAGCAGCACTAGGAGATTAGGTTGATGGGGAGATGGGACAGACATTGGTGTTCTAAGAAGCTGTTGGAAAGTAGGTGGTGACAGAAAACCAAACTAAAAACTGAACTCTCTGACCGCTGTTGCTGTTGAGTTGCAGAGAAGATGGAACAATACTCCATGCTGTCAGGAGGGCGCAAACGCCTAGTGCATTGCCCAAGATTTATTTGTCCAAGAAACCAAAAATCCAAATGGATACTCACAGACGAGAAAAGTGATGAGCATAACAAGTCACTTTCATCAACCCATGTGGCATTGAGTGACATGACTGGTACACAGCAGTGTCAGCAAGCAGACATGTTTTGGGGAGTGTGTTGTTATTCTAGTCACTTCCATCATTTGTGAGTATCCATTTAACATTTTGGCTTCTTGCCCAAATAAATGTATTGAACTGTATTGTTGCTGTATTGTCTCCCGTTATATTGTAAAGCGCTGAGCAAACTGCTGGCGCTATATAAATCCTGTATAATAATAATAATAATAAATCTTGGGTAATGCACTAGGTGTTTGCGCCCTCCTGTGTGTGTTTCTTTGTAGTTTGGATATCCATTTTGGATTCCCCCGTTTTAGGAGGGCAGCATCATTGAATTATGCACTAGAAGAAGTATAGACTCCATAGTTACTTAACTTGATTTTGTGACTGTCCTTGGAATGCTGGAGTGGTTGTTTGTTCATAAATGCTCTATGCTGGGTTGACTTATCTGAACATCTGTCCCTACTGGTTGGATATTTTCATTCTATGGACCTGCAATATATGTACAACATTGCTGGAGACTGCAGAGATAGCTCCACACTCTATACTCCCAGAGTCCCTCAAGGCAGGGAAGAATAATTCTTGTGATTTTTTCCCCACTGTAGGTAGGGTGCTGATCCCTAAACAATGGAGATTGACCCCTAATCCATATGTCAGGGAGTGGCGCAATTAATAAAAATCATATACAGTACTGTGCAAATGGTTTAGGCAGGTGGGAAAAAATGCTGTAAATTAGAAATAGAAGTGTTGCTGAGAAATACAGACAAATATTTATCCATCACGCCATACCATCAGAGAGGCATGTGATTGGCCCCAAATGTATTCTGCAGCAGGATAACAACCCCAAACATGCAGCCAAAGAAATATCTTCAGCATAAAGAACAAGGCATCCTGGAAGTGATGGTTTGGCCCCAACAGAGCCCGGATCTCAACATCATGGAGTTTGTCTGGCATTACATGAAGAGACAGAAGGATTTGAGGCAGCCTACATCCACAAAAGATCTGTGGTTAGTTCTCCAAGATGCCTGGAAGAACCTACCGGCTGAGTTTCTTCTTAGACTGTGTGCAAGTGTACCTAGAAGAACTCATGTTGTTTTGAAAGCAAAGGGTGGTCACACCAAATATTGATTTAATTTCTATTCTGATCATTTACTTTCCATTTTGTTAAATGATAAAAATAAATTATTAACACTTCTATTTCTGAAAGCATTCTAAATACATAGTATTTTTCCACACCTGCCTAAAAAATTAGCATAGTGCTATAATCCAAATGGAGGCATTACCTGCCCAACTGCATAATTTATACTAACATGTATTGGCAACATGGAGAATCTTGATTAGAGTGATGTTAAACCTTTGTTTTTTTTTTGTTTTTTTATTAAAATATCAAACGTGTATACTTACCTGCTCTGTGCAATGTTTATGAACAGAGCAGCCCCAATCCTCTTCTTCTAGGGTCCACCGCTGCAACTGCTGTTTTTCTCCATAATCCACCAATGCCTCTTAGGGAACATGGCTGTAAGTTTGCGGTACTCCAGTGCTGTCGAAAAGCCTACCCAAGATCCCAGACTACAGAGGATAGGAAGACGGCCACTTAGCCTATCAACTCTGAGGCATTTATTGTGAGAAGTAAAATAACAACAATGAGCAGCTGGAAACTGGGCCTTGTGGCTACATAGCACTATTGTGGCAGTGTTCACAACAAACACTCAAAGTGAACAGTCTACAGAGAATGCTCCTTCTGCAGCCATTGCAACACTGCAGGCAATAATAAATGCCTGCCTATGACTATAGATTGCTTTGATTTTTAGAAACATATTTAATGGTTTACCTTCTACATCAGAGCTAAGGTAGTTCCGTACTTCAGTCAATATGAAGTTGATGTCTTCCTCTGTGGGACAGGGGTGATGTGTGATCTCTGTTGGTGTATCAGTGGTACCCGCTATGGTCATTTTCTCCCACGGCAGGAAAAATATCACCCTGCCATCACTGGTGGCTGGATCCAGAAGTCCCATGTTATCTGGGCTGCAAGACAGTACACATTAGTGAGGAGTTCTGGTGTTTTTACAGTGAGAACACATTCTGAGCCATGGTTGCAACCAATTTCTGAACCCTGCTAAATATCCACTGGGATAAAGCCAATGGGACTGTTGTTTTCAATTGGTCTGAGCCATCATTTACTAAAAGAGCACCAAATCACAATGATTTTTGAGAATTATAAGCAGAAAACACAGCTTGCTTGTGTAATGAGTCATCATATACATAACATTTACAATGTAAGTTTTAAAACTATTTTAATGTATAGGATCACTTACAATAACCAAATCACTTTTACTTGGGTAGCTAAAAAAATATATAAATAATTTAGATTCCCATTATCTGAGATAAACGGGTCTGCAAGGAAAATAAAAAAAGGTCTCTTGCAGATCCCATCCATTGGCACTATACTCAGGGCTTAGTTATAAAAAAAACAAAAAAACACATTTAAAGAGGATTTTTCACTTTGCCTATTTAGTTCCCATTGGTAGAACATATAATTCCATTCTAAGGCTTTAGGGTGAATCACAATACAGCTACCTGTAGTATCCGGGCATGACAATGTGCACCCCTGCACTTGGCTGACAGATGTTGCTGAACGCCTGATTGTCCATTTTGCGCACAGAGTCTGTGAAAGGTCCAGTGGCATTGATAACACATTTGGCACGGACATCAAACTCTTGCCCTGTGATAGAAAACATGCATTTAATGTTATGGTGTACATGACTCTTAAAACTTACATCCTTAAAGATTTTTTGTTTTTTTTTGAGGGGGAGGGGGCAATAATACAAATATTCCTAGCCATCTGTCCAATATCTGTCAATTATACAGACATGGGGAACAATATTATTTTTCTGATTTTTTTTTACTAAACTAGAATGTATTTTATAACAGCTGTTATTACAGTGGGTGCCAAACTGCAAACCAAATGGAAATGGCCATTTGCTTGCCTGCAACTGCCCTTTGGGGGCTATTGCTCCCACCCAAACCAACAATAGGGCACTTTTCCTCACATGGATACAAAAGATGGGACACTTTCTCCCACTGACACCAATGATGGAGCACTATTCCTCCCACTGACACCAACAATGGGACACTATTCCTCCCACTGACACCATCTATGTTGCACTATTCCTCCCATTGACACCAATGATAATGCACTATTCCTCCAACTTATACCAATGATAGGGCACTATTCCTTCCACTGAAACCACCGCTGGGGCACTGATCGTCCTACTGATACCAATGACAAGGCACTATCTATTCCACTGACACCAACGATGAGGCACTAGACCTCCCACTGACACCAATTATGACGAACTATTCCTCTCACTGACACCAAGGATAGTGCACTATTATTCCCACTGACACCAACTATGAGACACTATTTCTCCACTGGCCCCAACGATGGGGCACTATTTCTTTATTGATATTAACGATGGAGCACTATTGCTCCCACTAATACCAATGATGGGGCACTGTTTCTCATACTGACGCCAACAATGGGGCACTGTTCCTCACACTGGCTATACGGATTACTCATCCCATTAACCAAAAGATCTAAGTAATTTTGTACTCCCACTGCTCACCATGCCTGATGCATTTTCTTTGCCCCACTGACCCTAAGGTATTGTTTACTTCTCTGACCACAGAGCCTGGTGCATTGTTTATTCTCACTGCCATTGGCCACAGTCTGGCAAAAGGACAGTGAAATTGCCCTTTGTTTAGAAAGTTTGCAGACCCGTGTTAATATGATCACTCCTCAAAGGCAGCAACAAAGGTATCACTATCTCAAAGCTGCAGTCCCTGTCAGTAGATGTTAACAATGGCAGGGGAGGTTGTAAGCACATAACGCCAGCTGCCTAGTGCACTGCTAAGGATGCAAAAGTCATTCTTTATTGCCTGGCTTTACCCAAAGGATCCTCTGCTGTGAATATATAAGCACTGTATCAGGGTTTCTCAACTAGGGTTTCCTCCAGAGGTTGCTAGGGGTTCCTTGAGCAATTTCTGTCTCTCAGATAAGTTCCCATTGACACCACTGATCTTTTTAGCGATCTGTAAGGGAGGAATTCTCAATGTCCACAGGTGTAAGGAGCATTCTTCCCACTGACTATCACACTAATGTGTCGTGAGTTGTAGAGAGAGAGAGACAGAGAGAGAGTGCGTGCGGTCTAGCAAGCATCATTTTATTGCCTACAGTAGTGACTAACAAAGGCACCATAGGTTATACTTTTAAAGTAGTAAATGCTTTAAAATCCTGGTTTGCTGTGGTACAGTAAAGCGGAGCTCCACCCAAAAGGGGAAGTTCCGCTTTAAAGACCGGTCCCCCACTCCCATTAAGGATTTGCACCTTTGGGGATCATGGGGAGAGCGGTAACCCGAAATTGACAGGTACCCACTCCCACTTACACAGGGATCGCCTAGGCAATTGGAAGTGGAAGTTATCCCTTTCCTCCCCTCCCTTACAGTTTTTTTTTAGCTGCTGACTTTTATTTTTTTACAATGTGATTAGAACTCCACTTTAAGGACATGTTGCATGTTACCATGTGTTGCATTAAGACAGCATAAAAAAAAAGTTTTGCAATGAAGCAAATATTAGCGTATTGCACTGCAACACAAGGGTACTGGGAAGGTGCATTAGGGTACATTTAGAATGAATGACACTGCAGCTCAACAATGCGCATCACCACAAAGCAATGGTGTAAATGGGCCCTCACCAACAAGCAGTGCAGGTGACTCAATCACTGTAATTTAAACAGGAGCTCTGCGAAAAGCAAATATCTTCAAAATAGAAGAAGCTTTGTGTTTCTGTGCTTACTTGAATCTTGGTGTGCTCTGTGTGCTGTCCTCTGTGCAGGCGCTTCCTGTATTAAAAAGCAGTCACTGCTGCTTTCTTTCCTTGTACAGGGGGCCTGGTCCTGTATCTGCCCCCTCCTGTAGTTTTCTGCAGGCAGTATGTAGTGGGTGGAGCCTGCTGTGCTCCCTGCTAGAAAAAACGTTTTCTATTTTTCTGTGCTTCCCCTTCCCTGGGTGTAGAAGAAGAGAGGGGAGAAGAAAGGACAGAAAAGATCAGCGATGTACACTGCTGCATCTCTTCTCCCCTCGCTTCCTCTTCACACAGAGACTCAAACAGCAGCAGGAGCCATTGGCTTCTGCTGGTGTCAATCAAATGCAGTGAAAAGGAAGTGTGTGTATGGGGGGGGGGGGGGGGGGGGGGGGGGGGGAACTAAGTCCTGCTGTGTGTCTATGGAGCGCAGCTCGGGAGAGAGCATGCAGCGTGTGTCCCCTAGCAAATGGCTTGCTATGGGGACACACAAAGAAGAGGAGGAGCCAGGATTGTCGTTGGGGAACCTGAGAAGAGGAACCAGGCCACTCTGTGCAATACCACTGCAATAGAGTAGGTGGGTATAACATGTTTGCTATTTTAATTTTTTTTTAAAAATCTGTCTTTAGTAACACTTTAATTGAACAAGTGGAAGTTAGAAGCGGATTGGCTACCATGCCCATCTGCGCCAGATTCTGAGTGTTCCAATGTTAGTAAATCTACCCCCCCTTGCAAAAGAAAAAAAACACATGGGTATAAAAAGGTTTCAATTTCTGTTCAGGAATGAAAAACTTTTATTTTACATTTTATTTACTCCTCGTTTACATATAGCTGAGGTTTAACGTTTTGTATGCCCCTCGTGGTCCTACCAATACAAGTAAATACAAGAAAGAAATAAAAAGCATCTTTTTGCTTGAATTTAGGTATTACAAAATGCACAAACGGGCCACAAGTCTGATACCTGTTAGAACGTCTTTGCAGCGTGCGCCGCAGACGCGCTCCATGCCGCTCAGCGGATCTGTCTTCTTCAGCAAGCGTACCACTTCAGTATAATTGGCTGTGGCAGCCCCGTACCTGGCAGCAGTGAGAGCGATGGCGAGGTTCATCCGAGCATCGTTGTGTTGTCCTGCAGCGGAGGGCACAATCAAGGGAAGGACATGAGTCACCTCAAGCCACTAACTTGTGCTATGGAAGTGTGTGTCAAAACCGATATGTCACAGCTGTCCCTGTCACACTCAATCTGCATGATGGCTGGCTGGATCTCACAGGGATTATTTAAAGATACATTGTCTCTTCCACATCACACAGCGTTAACCTGCCCCATGACTTCATGTCACCACTTTGCTTATGTACATGAGGACCTAATGATGCTATTAAAGGAATTGTTTTCTTAGAATTCTTCTCATATACAGTATATCTATAAAAAAAAACTATATCAATGTCCTCATAAAAACATGTCCCTATGTAAAATTTATAATTATATATGTACATGGGGGCCGCCATATTTACTTGTAACAAATAGCGGAGTAATTGTGCGTTAGTGCTCCTATTATTATCTCAATGAAAGTCTACCCATCAGCACGGACCCAAAATGAGTCACTGAACCTAATGCATTCCTTAGGTAGCTTATCATATTCTAACAGTTCAAAGTCTATTCAGCAAGGGTGCTGATTGTACTGTCTGATACGCACATATATTTACTAGGTAGCTTAAATAAAGTTGGATATGAAATGCCATCATGAAAACATGACAAAGCAAACAAGCACAAGGCCAATTTACATGAAAAAGTAATGTAAATGTTGAAAACAACAATGAAAACAGGGAGGATTTTTGCACTCTGGATAGAGTAAGGGAGGGTTATAACACCTGTAAGGTTTATTTTTGTCAACTTTGTTCCATTGTGGAGATTTCCCTTCACTTCCTGTCCCATAGACAAACAGAAAGTGAGAGGAAATTCCTGCAAATTAATGGAATCTCCTGGGGACCCCCAGATCACCAGAACCAGTGTCCCCATTGGAAGACTTCCCCTCTATTACTTTTCTGGGGACAACCCACAATTTGTGATTTTCTTTTACTTTGAATGATAATGGTAAACAAGACAAATAGAGAGGGTGAATTTCGCTAAGGGGACAGAGACAGCAATAAAAACAGACAGCAATAAAAACTTTCTAATCCATCTCCCCTCTATCCAAAACTAAAAAAATAAAAAAATCATAATAAGAATTTTTTATACTTTAATTTGCATGTGTTTTCTAGTAGAAAAGTTCCCGCGTGATGATCAGTAAAATATTGGATATAGATTTAAATGTGTAAAGATGTGTACATAATGATAATTTTTTCCCTCTTTGTTTAGATCCAATTTATGTGCTTACATATGTTTTATGTGTAATTTCTTAAATGCAGATTTTTGGATTCTGTGTTAGGGATCTGAATGCAATTCATGTTTACGCACCTGTGCGAATGGCTCAATTGAAAACAATGCAGCTGTATTCAGATCCATATATAAAAAAACGTATGGACATACATTCTTTTATGGCCATGTGAATGAGGCCTTAAAGCCCTGTACACACAGTAAGAATATTGGACGAATGATCAGCCGTTTGTTTTGTTTCTTTTTTTTTTTTTTTGCATGCTAGTCTACTACTAGTTTACTAAAGTTACGAAAATTCTCGTATGACAGAATACAACTTTAGAAGTGATGTATCAAATTGTATTGTATTATATTGTAATGTATTCTTTCATTTCCGAGCATGCTCGGTTACTTGGTTTTTTTTATGGACGAATACTGTTCTGTTGTCATACAACAAACTTTTTTGTTCTTGTCCCGTCAGATATTTTCACATGAAGTGATCGGCTCTCAAAAGCTGTGTCAGATTATCAGACGATCGCTCTGAAAGCGTTTTTTTTTTCGTCCGATATTCTCATCCTGTGTACAAGGCTTTGCACAGTTGTGGGATTAGTTCTATAGACAACAATGCACATATGTACAGATCAGTGTAAAACATTGCTTTTTTTTTTTTTCCTTCGCCCGCCCATTTCCAAGACACCTTAAACTAATAGTTCTTAGTCATCACTCCCCATTACACAAAGAAGAGCTGTATAAATCACAAAAGATAAACATTGTATTTAAAGCATTTCATGTAGAAATGAGCCATCATGTAATGAAGAAGTCGTCATCACTCTGCAATAGTAGTCAACCTTTTCGTCTTGGTATGCTATATAATTAGTCTTGCAAATGTAAACACATTTTTTTCTTTAATATTAATAGAGCATAGTCATCGGGTGAACAATGTAAGTGCAAGAACACTTTTACTTCAACATGAATAATATAATCAACTGGAGAACAAAGGAAGTGCAAGACTAATTTGCTTCAGTATAAAGTATAACATAATTGACTGATGAACTGTATAGCAGCAAAGAGAATTATATTCTTCAAGATTAATGGATAATAAAATGAGCTGGTTAGCAGTATAGTCAGAAACAGGCATATGAGCAACCAATCAGTAAGTAGATGGAAATTAATTTTATTAAATAAAAAAGGTGCCAGGTTATCGTGAAGTGGGATTAAAACTGTAGTAAACCCAGAAACAAAAATGTAATATATTGCAGCTTACCAATTCTTAGACATGGTGGCTGCATTTCTTTTCTTTTTTTTTTAAGCTTTTCTTCCCTTTATTTTCACCTGTTGATCAAAACAATAACAGACTTCCTGTCTTAGGGTGTCTTCACTTTTGATGAGAAGGAGGAGAAACAGAGACACCTTTGGACAGCAGCATTGTCAATATGGGGAGAGGGTAGCGTTAGATAAACCAGGCTAACAACTTGAATTCAAATACCAGATAACACTTTTTAAGAAGTTACATGGTTTTTTTTTCCATTTGGCATAGAGATTTTACAAAAATAAATAAAAATTTACCATGGTAAGTAGTTTGCCACAATCCTCTAACAGACCAAGCTGTCCAGCAAAAGTGGCAGTTAAAGCGGTGAACCTCAGACATGAAATATGATCAAAGCATATGTCTCTATAGTGTGTACGTGTCTCCATTACGAGCACCAAGTGTCTTTTATGTCTGTTGCTTCCTTCCTCTATCACCATGAATTACTTCTGACAAGGTTTTCCTGACACCAAGAGACAGGAGAGGGATCCTCAGCAGATTGACAGCCTCAGCTCTGATCCTGTGTGCTGTGCGGAGGGGGGTCTCTTCCCTTTAATCAGCTCTTAGAGCTTTCCTCATAGAGTGCTGCAGTTTGTAGTTTCAGCTCACCATCCCTTTTTTTCTAAACTCTCAGACAAGCTTTATAAATCCAGCATTTTGAATGGATGTAGAGAAGAGAAGACTGCAGATAGACAGGTCAAAATTATGTAGGATTTGTTATATTTCTGTGTATCACCGAAGGCCAGTCACTTCACTGGATATATGTAAGTGTTAACAATCACTTTAACCATATGGTTTCCAAAGGCATAGTTCACACCATTGCGGTCAGTTCCAGTGCATTCCAGTAAAAAAAAAAAAAAAAAAAAAAATTAGAACATGCTACATTTTTTCTGCACTGAACTGTACGAGAACACGGTAAAACGCGCTGGAGTGCACATGTCCTTACTTAAGGTGAAGAAAAAAAAAGGGGAAAAAATGCACCGGAATGTATCAAAAATGCAAAAATAGAAATGCATCTTGATTGTATTTCTATAGTGTGAACCAGCCCTCAGGGATTCTCTTCTCACTTTAGAGAAGTCCTCTCAATATTATTATTATTATACAGTATTTATAAAGCTCCAATAATTCGCTCAGCGCTGTACATTACAAAGGGGGACAGAACATGTGACAGAACAATACCAATACAATGCAAAACATGAGGGGATTGAGGGCCCTGCTCTTTCGAGCTTACAATAGATTTTAAAGAAGTATAACCCTATTTTGGCTATACTTCTATGGATCACCGGAGTGCAGTTGGTTCTGAAGTCCTGTGACTTTTTTTCAGCCGACAGTGGGCTAAAGTCCACTGTCGGCTGACATCACAGAGATGGTCCAAAAAAAAAAATCCTGACCATATGGTGGGAATCCATCCAGAAGCTTGGACTGGAACCTGGCTCAGCCTCTTAGCGATCCGCCGAGTGCCTGAGCCAGCCCCCTTCTGCCCCCACCAAAGCCCAGCACTTCAGTGAGCACTGGAGGGGCAGAGAAGAGTGCCAGAGACAGAGTCTCTACAAGCACTTAATCCTTGTTGACTAAATACAATTTTTTTTAAAATGTGTGAAAGTTCTTTATTTCCTTCCCACTGCAGGCTTTAATCACTTACAGAAAGCTTTTTACCAACTCTCCTATAATTCCTCATATAGAACTATACTAGTACATTTTTTTTCTTGCATCAAAGTGTCTGTATTGCTTACAACAAGCAATTAGAGCCTCCTTCGTATATGTGCACAAAATGAAGAAACGAATGAGTTGCCATGGACAACAATAACTATACTTACTTTATGCTGCCAGTTTATTTGTACGTACCTTTACAGTATATAGTGCAGAGTATTGTAGGCTGAAGCAAACTATATCAACAAGGTGCTAGTCTTTTTTATTCCTAAACAGTTAAAGATCAAGAATTAAAAGAAAAAAAAGCGACGACAAATTAATCTTCTCTAATTCAGTCTTCACATGGGGTATTAGATTTATCATTTTCCCTCGAAGGCCCAGAGCCTTGCTTTAGTGAAATGACTCTACGTTTTGCAATTAATTTTCTGATTATCCGATCAGCAGTAGTACAACCAAAATCCTGAAATGTTAGCACTGGCCCACCCACTAAATACCAAATGGGAGGACATCAGAGTAATAGAAATGGCTGTTGATATATGCAGCTGGGATACCAAACTCTTAACACAAAATTGATTATGTAAAATATTTGGCCTATGATCCGTCTGGTATGCCTGGCAGAGCTGCACAAGTAATCTGTCTATGGCAAAAGGGCAATGCTGAGATCAATGCTTTAGTGGGCCTTCTGTCCACTCCCCTTAACGTCCTGTCGTGGCCACGGTTAAATCAATAAGGAGAAGTGATTTTCAGCTATTTACTTCGATTATGCAATTTTCCTTGCACTCTAGTAAAACGGGAAGGGG